GGGGGGGATGTTAAAGGGAGGCGGGAGAATGGTGGAGCAAAGCCTGGAGGTGGGAGAGGAGCACCTGCAGGTGCTCGACACGCCACAGGCTTCCCAGACCACGGTCCCTCCTGCCCGTGCCCCTCGCCCCAACACCAGGCGTGCCCTGGCTGAAGGCCTGCTGGGGGAGGTGAAGAGAGCTGTCAGCTGAGTTGGAGCGCTTGCCAGGAATGTGTCGCTTCAGGTTCCCCAGACTGGACTGACCCCCCCCCCCCAGACCTATATTGTTTGATTCTCCACTGACCTGTCTTACCCCTGAGGTAGTCCGGCAACGGGACCTCTCAAAAACAGACTGGGGAGTTTCAGAACTTTTACGTTCGGAGAGCCTTGGATGCCCCCCCACCCCCAGCGTTCCCCACTATGAATGGGTGCCCCCATTTGCACTGGTCAGGTTCCCTAACCGCAACTCCTTTGCTCCCCCACCACACAGTGTTCCCTGTCACCCCCACAGTCACAGTCAGGAGGGCATCAGCCCTGCCACTCAGATTTTCCTGGCGCAGGGGAGAGGAGGGAAACCTCGGGGTTTCTGTGCCCACCCTCCTCCAAGTTCGTCACGTGCCCCTCCCCCATTATAAAGCTCTGCCTGGCCAGTGCCCGCTGTCCTCTCCCTCCCTCCCTCCCACCGAGTGAGTGGAGTTGGGCCCCTGCCCCTCCCCAGGGAGCCTGCATCCGTCCCGCCTGGCCTTCGTCGGGGAAGGGGCGCAGTTATGCACCCCTCCGTGCCCCGGGCTGTCTCTCAGGACCCCTTCGCTTGCCCGTTTGGATTCTCTCCAGAGCTCTTCCCTTCCTTCCTCCCCAGTCCCGGGTCCATGGGGCATCTCCCTGTCCCCAGCACACCCCTCCCTGGTCTCAGCCCACCTCCGCATGCCGCCACTCGGTCACTGTTCCTGTTTCTGGCTCGGCCCGTCCTTCCCTCCCTCCCTCCTCTATCTCACCCCCCACACACCCATCTCTGCTGGTTTCGCTCCAGGTCTGGGCCTTGACTCTTTCTCGCCCTCTTTCTTTCTTCCGCCTCTCCCACCTTCTCCTCTCTGCTCCTCATTAATCTCTGGTTCCTTTGTGGCCCCAGCCCTCGCCTCTGTCTCTCGCTTTGTTCTTCTTCTTCCTTCCTATAAATAACTCTTCTCTTTGATCTCACTGCCTCTGAGGGCCACTCTAAGACCCTTCGTAGCCCGGGAGGATTCTGCAAAGCCGGGAGACCCATCGTGGCCAGCTGGCCGGAAGCCCCCGTGTCCTGTCCTCCTCTGGGCTGGGCGGGTGGGGGCTGTGAACTGCCAGAGCCCTCCCACCACCCTGGCCCCGCTCTTATGCGGTGATCGGTCCTCTCCTCGGCCCAGGTTATGCCGCCGCCTTGTTGCCCTGAAAGCCGCAGCGACAGTGAAAAGGGCTAAGATTTGGCCATGAGCAGTGTCCCCCGGCACCCCGCCTCTGGCGCAGATTCTTTCCGTACTGTAAGTATTGCCAGCTTGGTGGGTCATCCCACCGTCCCTCCTCACGCCACAGGTGCTCCGGCTGAAGAGTCCCATCAAACGTGTGTGTGTAGAGGCTCGGGAGCAAGGGAAACCTGGCGAGGGGGGAGGGCGTCCATCCCTACCCTGGCTTTGCCTGGGGCTAGGGTTCTGGGCTGGGTATTGGGGAGGGATCAGGTTAGTTCCAGCCCTGGGGAGGGAGTTGAAGCTCTATTTCCTGAAGACCCGAATGGTAGCTTAAGTGAGAGAGGAACTTTGGGAATCCTGAGTTTCTAGCCAGTTGATGCCACCCCAACTCCGCCCCCCCCCCCACCCGGCGTTAGAGACAGTGGTAGTCTGCACACAGTGGTTCTGGGAGGAGCTCACTAGCAGTGACGGCCCGCCCCTGACCCCACGTGCTATCCAGGTCCGCCCTTCCCTGACCCCACGTGGCCCCCACCCCTCAAGGCCCCCTCCCTATTTTCCTGGGATGTCTAATGATTAACTCCGAGTGCCATAATCAGCCCCTTATTGGTCACTTTGGCCCAGCGGGCACGTGACTGAGAAGGGGCGCGGGCCAGTCTCCTCCCCCTCCTTCCCAAGTTCACCCCTGCCGGCCATGGACTTCCTCCTTCGCCCTCAGGTGCGAGGGGTTTGAGACCCCCATCCCCCACCCCACCCCCCACCCTCGGCTAG